TGTGGTCAGGGATGGAGCTGCCAGCACGTGGCAGCTGCTGGGTCCCCAGGCACTGACTTCATTCAGGCCCAGCCTGTGTGTGCTCTGATCCACGGGCCGCTGGCCATGCCCTCGGGGAGGGCGTGCACTCCTGATCCCCGGGGCAGGCTGGTCCTCCTGCTCCAAAAGTCTCCTTGTTTCCATCAGGAACCGAGTGCCTCCATGCCAGTCCCTGCTGGGCTCACCCTCTGCACCCTCCAACCAGCAGGGTCCCACCCCTGGGTGCAGAGCTGGCAGAAGCCTCTGCCTCGCTCGCCGGGAGCAGCTGATGCACAAACCTGGCCAAAGGCAAACATTCCCAGGGAATGATGAGAATATTGTGGAGGCCAGGCAGGACCGAGCTGCCAGACTGTCCTGGCCCCAAGCCCTGGCCTGAACTGCACTGAACTTCTGGGGAGTTTGAGGCTGGAGCTCGAGACGGAGCTTGTGATTTAGCCCAAGCAGCGTCTCACCTCAGAGCATCTCTGCAGGCCTGGGGAGCTCCTGGAGCTTCATTACCGTCCAGGGCTGCAGGACAGACCTGTCCCCACCTTGAGGGGACACCCTGTGGTGCTACCCCTCCCCGAGAGCAGCCCTGTCCTCCTCACTGGCCCTTCCCACCCACAGGACACAGCAGACTACGTGAAGCCGGTGACGTTCTCCATCGACTACGAGCTGGAGCAGCCGGAGCACGGCCCCATGCTGGATGATGGGTGGCCCACCTCCCTCAGGGTCTCGGTAGGTGCAGCACCCACCTCCCAGGGGGCCTTTTATCGGGCACCTGCTCAGCAGATGGATCTCTGGGTGTAACATTTGCTGTTTACCTTGATGTGTCCTGTGATGGGGTGGGTTGGGCACTGCTGCAGCCTGGGGTCACCGCCTGTGTCCCCAGCCTGGGGCACAAATGGTCCCTGAGCTGCTCCCATCGTCCCCCTCAGGTGCCTTTCTGGAATGGGTGCAATGAGGACGAGCACTGTGTCCCTGACCTGGTCCTGGACGCCAGGAGTGATGTCCCCAGTGCCATGTGAGTAGCTCACCCAGACCACCCTCCAACCAGTATCACAAACTGGGGGAGGCTCCAAAAAACCCATCCCCGACCCATGTTCCCTAAATTCTGACATCGCAGCTGGTGCTTCACCCAGCACCACCACGAGGTTCATCCAGCCCCTCCACGAGGTGCTCCAGCGGCTCTCTGAGCCTCTGCCTGCTCCCTGTCTGGAATGAATCAGTGTTTTTCCAGGGAACCCACAAAACAACTAATATTTGGTGCCATGGTGATGAGTCCCAGGGAGACAAATCACTAAATAACAGGGGGGGGGAATAAATGCAAGACTGGCATTACCCACCTGGCAATTACAGGCTTGACTCACGCACAGGAAATAATTGCACAGCACAGCTCGTTGGCTGAAGAGCTTTTAAAGGTCATTTGGTGAGTCCAGAGGAGGTCCTGGAGCTGCTCCCAGGGCTGGAGCCCCTCTGCTCTGGAGCCAGGCTGGGAGAGCTGGGGGGGTTCACCTGGAGAAGAGAAGGATCCAGGGAGACCTGAGAGCCCCTTGCAGGGCCTAAGGGGGCTCCAGAAGAGCTGGAGAGGGACTATTTACAAAGGCCTGGAAGGACAGGACGAGGAGGGTTGGTTAGATGGGATATTGGGAAGATATTCCTGGCTGGGAAGGTGGAGAGGCCCTGGCACAGTTTTGCCAGAGAAGCTGTGGCTGCCCCTGGATGCCTGGGAGTGTCCAAGGTTGGATGGGGCTTGGAGCCACCTTTGCTGATGGCATGGGATCTGCTCCTTCCTTGCATCCCATCTGTCCTGAGCCCTCCTGGTGATACCTGAGGAAACTCCACGCCATCAACCCCAAATCCCAGCAAGCAAAACGCTGGACAACGAGAGGAATTCTATTCCTCCTTCCGTAGCAGCACATCGGGACAGAGGGAGAGCCAGGGGGAGGATTCCCATGCACAGTGGGCTTCAAACCCCTGGGAATTTCCCCCCTCTCCCCCCGTTTCAGGGAGTTCTGCCGGCGGGTGCTCCGGAGGGGCCCCCCGGAATGCTCAGCCTTCAGCCTGTCCTTCGACGCCTCCGTGTTCGTGCTGGAGAGCGGCAGGAGGAGGGTGGCGGTGGAGGCCACGCTGGAGAACCGCGGGGAGAACGCCTACAGCACCGTCCTCAACATCTCCTTCTCCAGGAACCTGCAGCTCGCCAGCCTCATCCCCAAGGTGAGGCTCCCCCGGGACAGCCGGGCCCGATCCCAGGGGCGCTCCCGATCCCGGCCGGAGGATCCCGGCCCGCGTCCCAAAGCAGAGCCCAAAAAAGTGTCTCCATCCCTCATAAATCAGGCCTGTTTATGGGCTTCGTTTCTAAGCACTTCCAGCCCTTCCAGCTCTTTATTTTGGAAACGCAGAGGTTTTTAAGAGCCTGAAAGAAGGTCGGAGGCAGATGAAATTATTTCCCCCTCTTTATTTTTCTACTCCGGTAGTTTAAAAATACTCCCTGCCCGTGGCCAAGTTCCTGTCAGGGAGGGGATTTTTACAGCTGAGATGTAACTCCTGGAAGTCAGGGCTGATGGTGGGAGTGTGGTCACAGCTCAGTGTGATGCCACCTCTCTACAGCTGTCCCCTGGATGAGCCCCTCGTGGCCCATCCACTCCCCCCCTCCCCAAAATTTCACCCCCACCACTCTCTTGATCTCCACGTGACTCCTCCCTTTTCCCAGCGAGGTTTGGGAAATGTGCTGATGCTGCTGAGCCCTCCCTCATCCCCCCAATAACTTCATCCCCACCACAGATCCCATCTCCTGCCTCTGTTTTCCTCCAGGCCTTGCCAAGGGAAAATTGTGGGGCATGCTGCCCACAGAAGAAGAAAAATGCATTTTTTGAGGGCTTTACTGCAGATTAAGTGATGGAGGGGGGGAAACCCTGCCAGTGGTGGGTGACAGAAAGCCTCGAGCAGGAGTGGGGATAGGAAATATTTACAGCTGGTTATGGAAGTGTCACTGCGAAAGGGGGCCTGGCTGCTGCTCCTCAGAAGTCAGCACATTGCCAGCCCCGGGGGATGGGTGGATGTGTAAGGTAATAATAATAAGTAGCTGTGGCCCTAAGAAGTCCATAATCTCAGCAGAGGAGTGGGGGGAAGCTCCAGGCTCCTGCTGGGGGCTCTCAAGGCTGGGATGTTTCTGCTCCTGGGCAGGACTTGTCCGGTGGCAGCAGCTCAAACTGAGACCCTTGAGGGGTCTAACACAGGGGTGAAAGCTGAAACAGCTCTTTGTCTCATGGTGAGGGTGGACAGCTGCTCACAGCCAGGCTACAGACTCTTGCAGGGCTGCAGAGGAGGCAGAGCAGGGTTGGTGTCCCATCCCATCCCTTCCCGTTCCACCTGGGATTGGGCTTTGCAGTGGGCTGGAGACATGAAAGGTGTTCCAGCAGCAAGAATGTAATTGTTGAGATGAGGAGATTAAACACCATGGCTTAGCTGGTGGCCATGCAGAAAACGAGCTCCTGTTATCCCTCGATGCTCCCTGGGGACTCCTCATCATGGGAAAATCTCCTTCCCGGTTCCAGTGCCAAGAACAGGCGGGTTCATTCATTCACTGTTCATCCACTCAGTTCACAAAGATTTAAGTCAGAAGGCTGGAAGTTGTTTTTGCTAGAAATGCCCCTCTCCAGGAATGTCAAGGAATTTGTGGGAAGGATTCCCAGCCCTGCAGCAAGCGGGGTGGGTTGGGAGGTTGTTTTTTGGTGGGTTGGTTGTCCCGTTCCTTCATTCACAACTTTGTTATTTCGTTGTTTTGTTGCCTGGTGGGTTTGTTGGCTGGTTGGTTGTTTCTCCCAAAGGTCAAGCCCACTCTGAGCCCCGTGGGTATGTTTCCTGCTCTCAGGATGAGGTGGCCATGGGGGTCCTTCCAGCCTCATGGACACTTTGTGTCCCGTTTTAGGACGACACCGACGTCAACATCGACTGCACGGCTGACGACAGGCACCCCAACAAGAGAGTGTGCAACGTCAGCTACCCCTTCTTCAGAGCCAAGGCCAAGGTAAAGATGTCCCCCCCTGCCCAGCTGAGGCTTCACCTGTGGGACAGGAGTCCTCTGCCCCCGGCGTGGCCACAGGGTCACACCCATCCGTCTGCTGGGCTGGGCAGCTTTGAACAGGACTTTAAAATGTTTCTTCTCTCTCTCCGCCTGTTGTTGGAGTTGGAAAGGTGTGCTGGAGTGGTTGAGATGCTGCCTTGGTGCTGGGAGAGCCCCAAAATCAAACCCAGCTCCTGCAGGTCACAGAATTGGACTCCAGGCCTTTTCAGCATTTTAATGTTGGCTTCAAACTACTGATGGTGACTTCCCAGAGCTCCATGGGGATGAGGAGCAAGCTGTCACTCTTCCCTCCCTGAGAGGTTTTCCTTGCTTTAAGGTGCCTCTGGACCTTTCTCTGAGCCTGTCCAAGCCCCTTTGGGCTGTTGGTACCCCCTGAACCACAGCTCCCAGTAGTTCCCAGCACTCAGGATGAGCTCAGGTCCTGTGAGACATAAAGCCCTTTGAGAGCGTTAAATGCAGCAGTAAGGCGGGAAGGAAAAGTGAGGAGATGCAGCCACTGGGCATCCGTGTGAAATCCCACCCTGCACCCTCGTGGGAAGAGTGGCCAGCACTAGAGTGATGTGGAGATAAAATCTCCCCAGCTCCTGTATCCGTCTGAAGCTTGTCCTTGTCAGAAGGCTGCTGATGATGAATGAGCTCCAGGCACCTCACTCGGCTTTCAAGCTCCCAAAAAAGCCCTCTCAGATGCCTGTGGCTGCCCGAGGAGCCCCAGCCCAGCTCCCCATGACCTCGAGGGGCTGGGAATGCATCTGCGTGGCACCAGGTACTGCAGGTCCTGCCAAAGCAAGACAAGCTGGAAATGGAAATTTGGCCCCAGAGCAGCAGGAGCTTTAATATTATAGTCAGCTGTGCTGTCCCAGACAGTTTGAGGTCATTGCCACAGGCTGCAGATGTGACATTTATCACATTTTATTGTTGTTGGCTCTCCCAGCTGCCTCCCCCGGGCCGCAGATGGAGCGAGCGCAGCGGCCTCTCGCTGCCGCTCCCCGGGAGGGATCCCCTTCCAAAGGGGAGCTGCTCCCTTCTCCAGCCTCAGGGGGGAGAAATTGCAACATGAGGGGCTGGAATAAATCCTGCAAATCCTCCTCTGTTCCTGGAAAGGCTCTGCTCCAACCCAGCACCAGCTCCTGTTGGGATCGTGGCGATGCTCTAACCCAGAGTCCCTCATCCCTCCCTGGGGATGTTTTGCCCCCTCGTGTTTTCTCCACTCTGTTTCCCACTCCACAGGTAGCTTTTCGCTTGGATTTTGAGTTCAGCAAGTCGGTTTTCTTGGAGAACATGGAGATCTACATGATTGCCAGCAGGTCAGTGGTGGCTTTCTCCCTTGAACATCTTTGTGGGGGCAACAGGATCGTGGAATCCTGGAATGGTTTGAGTTGGAAGGGACCTTAGAGCTCATCCCATCCCATCCCATCCCCTGCCCTGGGCAGGGACACCTTCCACTAGCCCAGATTGCTCCAAGCCCTGTCCAGCCTGGCCTTGGACACTTCCAGGGATGGACCATCCTGGAGCAACCTGGAGGCTTCACCAGGGAATACCCACAAGGGAACCTGATTTCCATCCCTGTGCTCACAAATCAGGCTATTTTTATTTATCTCTATATTTATACCTATCACTTTCCCGTGTGTGTGAGGCTGTGCAGTCACTGCCAGCCTCTGCTGGATCTCCAGCCAGAGTTCCTTTCTCATCCACCCTCACACTGCAAAGATTTCCCAGGAAAAAATATCTCAAAATTCTCCTTACTCACCCTTCCCACACAGGGAGAGATTCCCAACAGGAAAGTGAAATTTCATTACAGATTAATTTTTTTTTTTTTTAAATTTTCATCAGTTATTAGAGCAGAGGGGGATTCACCTGCACCACTTAGAGGCTGCTGGCTGTGACACCTCTCTCCAGTCTTTTATGTAGATGGATAAAAAAATCACAGGATAAAATTGCTTATCTTTACACTTGGACCCCAAAGCAGAAGTTCAGCCCTTCCCCTTCCTATGACCCCCACAAAAAACTATCAGAGGGCATCAGGCTCCTGCCTCACCCCCTCTGGCCCTGCTGCTGTTCCAGTGACAGTGAGGAGAAGGAGAGCACCAAGGAGGACAACTTTGCCCACCTCAATTTCCACCTGAAGTACGAGGCCGACCTGCTCTTCACCAGGTGTGTGTTTGGGAAGGGGCTGCAGCTCCTGGGAGGTCCCAGGCTGCGGGGTGTCCCTTGGGAAAACCAGATGGGAGCTGGATTCCAACACAGCCCAGTGCAAACCTGGCTTCAATCTGGGGAATCTCTTTAAAAACCAGGGCTGAAGGGCCCATAAAATCCGGGCCATCCCTCGTAAAAATCACCAGCGACGAGGTGCTGTGCTCTCAGCACATTCACAGGCACAAGTGTGATTAAAGAGGTGTGAGGGCAATTTTTTAAGGGGAAAAAAAAGTACTTATTGTAGGTAATAATGTCCATAACAGGTGTTTCCAGTGTCTGGGCCTTTTGCCATCCCACTAAAGCCATGGGAGAGAAGCTCAGCTGAGGGATGTGTGTGGAATCACCAGTAACTCAGGTCCAGGACAGTGAGGGGTGAAGGCACAAATAATCTATTAACCTGATGATAGGAAAAATCAGAAGCACATTCCCTGGCACTGCTTTCTGTAATCCTTAGGAGATTTTTGAGACCTTCAGTCATTTTGTATTTTTGGTTTGGTTTTTTTTTTTTTAGCCTAAGACACTAAAAATAAAACCACTTTAACACTCAGGATTTATGGGGAGCGAGGGGATTCTCCTCTTAACAAATATCAGAATCGTTCTTCTCCACGGGAAAACTTGGAGGGAAAGAACAGCCCCAAAAAAATATATCAAAGTTGGGAACCTTGGGGTGAAAAAAGGGGACAATAACTGCAGAGAATTTGGGATTTGAGGCCATGGGTCCCGTGCCATGACATGGGCCAGCACGTGTCCCATCACAGGTGTTCCTGGATGGGATCCCACAGGACCCTTTGGATGCTCCTGGCTCCTTCCCCTCCTCTCCAGCTGCAAACCAGAGATTGATTTACCTCCTCTGACTCACACATGACACTCAACCCTCCAGCCAGGGCCTTGCATGTCTCTGTTTTATTAAAAAGGCGAGAAAATCCTGCAAAGAAAGGGAAAGTCCTGCAGGAGCATTAAAATCCCTGGGTTTTTTTGCACGAGGGGCAGTCAGGTGCTGGTTTCCATCCGAAATGGAGCCAGGAGGACCTCGAGCCCTGCCTGGGGAGGGAGGGGCTGGGGGTGCTGGGGCGCTTCATTCCAAGCCCAGCTCACGACTTGTCATCCCTTGTGACGACAGGACATCGAGCCTGGACTACTACGAGGTCAGGTCCAACAGCTCCCTGGAGAGATACGACAGCATCGGCCCCCCCTTCCACTGCACCTTCAAGGTGAGGAGGGGGCTCCAACCGGCTGAGGGACCCCCCCAGCACCACCCCAGAGGTGGGATGTGCCACGGTCACATCCCTGTCCTCTCCCCTCCCAGCTGCAGAACCTGGGCTTCTTCCCCGTGGAGGGGGTGACCATCAGGATCACCGTCCCCGTGGCCACCCGGGCAGGCAACCGCCTCCTGCTCCTCACTGACTTCCTGCTGGACCAGGTAGGGTGGGATTGCCTCCCAGTTCAGGGTCCCTGCTGACAGGGGTGGAGGAATGTCACGGTCTGTCTCTTCTGCAGCACCTGCATGCACGGCCTTGGCTCCCGCCCGGGCCCCTCCCTTTTGCATTCCCTTGGCTGCAAACACGGAGAGTGGCAGTGGCCAAAGGGTTTAGTCCAAATACTTCTCTGAGCTAAAGCTCCCTCCGGTGTGCAGTGGATTCCCGAGGGTCTGGGAAGCTGTGCATGGGGTGAACTCCGGGCTGCAGTGAGCATGGTAGGGGTGTGAGGGCTGGGAGCAGATCCCGGGGCATCCCAAGCCCGTGGAAGGAGCCTGGCACTGGGACAGGGTGCTTGTGGATGGATTTTGGGGGAATGTGGCTGCCGTGGTCCCTGTGCCCACGCCTGGGCTTCTCCCACAGGAGAACACGACCTGCAGCCTCTGGGGGAACACCACTGACTACAGGAGAACCCCGGCTGAGGAGGACCTGACCCGCACCCCTCACCTGGTACACACCCCATGGGGCTGATCCCGGATCCTGGGGCTGGGCTGCCCCCAAAACTGAGGGAAAACCCTGGAACAGGGATGCCCCACGGGCACAAGGTCCCTCCACTGGGGTCTGGTTCTCACTCCCCTCAGTGTGCCAGGGGTGGATCCCAGAGGGTTTTTCCCCCTTCCCCAGCCATGCTCCCACCCCACAAACCTCTCCCCCTGCAGAACCACAGCAACTCCGACGTGGTTTCCATCGACTGCCACGTGAAATTAGCCCCCAACGAGGAGATGAACTTGCACTTGCGTGGCAATCTGTGGATGAAGTCTCTGAAAGCAGTAAGTGGACATGTGGATTTTGAGGAGAAAACCCCCAAAGGAGACCTCACACCCCAAAAATGCCTGTTTTTTTTCTTGTCCCACGATTTCTTCCCTCCCATTAAGCCCGGACGTGTGGGCTGATTTTTGTTCCCAAAGCCCACATATTCCATCGGTGTGTGCATCCAGCATCCCACACGGCTGGAATTTAATCTCATAATTAATTTATGCAAATTTAATTCATTTTAAAAGTCCTTTTTGCTGTCATTCAGCCACACTCTTTGCTTGACCTGCATCCTCCTCTCCCGCGGATGTGCCCACGGCGTTCCTGAGGGATGCAGAGCCGTGGGGAGGGGGGTACCCACGGGGGTGGTGGGTCCTCTGCCAGGCCTGATGCTCATCTCCAGCCCCTCTTTGTGCAGCTGAAGTTCAAGTCACTGAAGCTCACCACGAACGCCGCTCTGCAGCGACGCTTCGGGAGCCCCTTCATCTTCCGGGAGGAGGATCCCAGTCGCCAGGTGAGCCCCCGTGGGATGGGCACACACGGAGCCAGAGCTTTGGGATACTCCAACACCCTGCTCTGATCCCAGTGGGAAAAGCACCGTTGGTTGGCAGAAGGGCTGGAGTGACACACGCCGGGGCGCTGAGCTCTGCAGAGCCCGGAGAAACTCGGTGCAGTTCTGGCTCTCACAGATCACTTTTGGTGCTCTCACAGATCACTTTTGGTGCTCTCACAGATCACCTTTGGTGCTCTCACAGATCACTTTTGGTGCTCTCACAGATCACCTTTGGTGCTCTCACAGATCACTTTTGGTGCTCTCTCCTCACAGATCACATTTGAGATCTCCAAGCCCGAGGAGTCGCAGATCCCCATCTGGATCATCCTGGGGAGCACCTTAGGAGGTCTCCTGCTCCTGGCCCTGCTCGTCCTGGCGCTCTGGAAGGTGAGCAGCCCCTAAGCCACGTGTGTTGGGGGCTCAGTGGAGACCCCAGCGCATGGACAGACCCCCTGGCCCTACAGCTCCATGTCCACACCCCCCCGAGCGCCTCAGCACCACCAGGAATCACCAAAAGCTCCTCCAACCTCTTTCCTCTCCCATCTTCTCTGTATCCAGGGTCTTAACCTCCTGGAGATACCCCATTAAAGGAGAAACTTTTCCCAGCAATGCCCCGAGATGACAGGGGGGTTTTGTTTCTCTTTCCTCCCCACAGCTGGGATTTTTTAAGAGCGGGAACCGCAGGAGAGCGGCGGAGCAGGAGCAGAATTCCATGGGGCTGGAATGACACTGCCGGGGCCAGGAGCCCCCCGTGCCCCCTCCCGGCCCCTCGCCAGCTCCGGAGCAGGAGGTCACCTCGATCCCGAGGGATTTGGGTGCTGAGCTGGGGTTTGCATCGAGAGGAGAGAACACCCCTTTGTGTGACATCACCTGAACTGGTCCAAAAGCCAAAAAAACCACCCTTAAACGCACCAAAAAATCAACTCCAAACCTCCTCGTGCCACGGCAAGAGGAGCTTCGAGCTGGGTCTGCAACGAGGTGGCAGCGACACAGGGGGATGAGGGGCCACCAAAGCGACGCGTCCCGTGGGCTGGGACAAACCACGGGGCTGCAAAACTCTTTACAGTAACAATATCCATTAAAAATAAACGAGGATTGCTCATTCCTGTGGCGGGGCTGCAGCATTCCCTGGGCTTTGCTGGCCACGGCTCTCAAACTGCCTTCGTTGACAGGAGTAATTAGGTGGAGATTTTAATTTGCCGCCTTCTGAATGCACTGAATGAAACGATAGCGAGTTAAAAGCACCTTAATGCGAATCTCCGGTGTCCAGCTGTACATAATTATTCTACAAATATTTACCTGTTGAAGGAGGGGGAAAAAAAAGAATTAAAAACTATTAAAAAAAAAAAAAAAGGGAATTCAAAGCAGTTTGATGGGTTTTCTCCCAAGGGAGCAGTTTGGGAGAGCTCGTGGCCAGGAGGGCCCTCACGTGTATCATACCTGTACATACCTGGGGTCCCCCCAAAAGCAGCTGATGGTGCTGGTGGGCGGCAGCGTGGTCCTTCTGCATCCCAGAATTATTTATGCTAATATTAATTTTATGGATGGAAAAAGAAAGCAGGACGCCTGCGGGGTGTGGAACGAAGGTTGGTTGTTAAATGTCGTCCTGGTATTTTTTAAGGATTAAAAATAAAGTATTTTAAAACCGCCCGGGCTCTGTGTCCCCTTCTGCGCCAACTCGCTGGGTAGGAGGGGGGTGCTCTGATCCCACTGGGATTCAGGGCAGGGGGATGGGGCTCTGACCTCTGATTTTTTGTGGGATGGATGGGAGGTTTTCCCAGCCTGTTTTCAAAGGGATGCTCTCAGCTGGGATGATGCACCTTCGTGAGCCCAGGGGAAGATTTGCTGCACAATCAGCCCCAAATTTGGTATAAAATGGGGGTAAAAAAACCCAAAATGAGATTTTTTTCGTTGCTGGCATCCCCAGCTGGAATGGGAATTCTCCGTGCCCGGGTTTCTGGCTGGCTGGGGTGTGGGTGGCCCGGCGGGGGTGCAGGGATACCCTGGAGATCCCAAATCCCACCGCAGGGAGCAGGGGGTGCCTGGGCCTCCGGGAGCACCTGAGTCCTGGTGGATCCCACACAATCCCGCCTTCCCTCCCTCCTGCCCAGCCTTGGGGCACCTGCGACACCAAGGAAAAGGACGGCAAGGGAGGGGCAGGATCCCATTTCTATTTATGTATCTGTGTATAAAATATACATTTAAATATATATATGTATATTTTGTCTCTACCTGGGTGTGTTATACATGCATACATAAATATAAAAATATATAAAAAACTAAAAATAAAATAATAAATATATATGTAAACACACATACACACCCTCAATCATAAGCACCAAATTGACGGTGAGCAGGGATTCCCAGAGCTGCAGCAGATTTTTTAAAATATTTATATATTCTATTATATATATTAAATTCTTATATATTTTGATATATATAATATATAATACATATTATATATAATATATATTATATATAATTTAAAAATATAAATTCTATTTAAATAGATAATATATAATATATATCACAGGTATATTTTTAATTTTAATTTATGTATTAACATAAATATTTATTATATTTTATATAATTATGGAATATTAATAATACAGCGATAGTGTTAATAATATTCAAATATTTAATATATTTACTATATAGTTGAATTATATATTTATTGTAGTCATTACATATTTATATGAGTTATTTATGGGAAAATATATATTTCATATATAAATTATATACAGATTATAATATTCATGTATAATTTATATATAGGGAGAAAATCTATATATTTATATAACTAAATATATATGAGATACATATTATACAGAAAAACATAACTTTTATATATTTTATTTTATATATTTATCATGCATTATTACTTATATTCATTATATATTAATTATATAAAGTTATATATTTAATCTGTATAATTTATAACATACATATATCATTTATATATAGATTTCCTGCATATATCATATATAATATATATAAAAACATATAAAAATATATATATTATGAATTACAAATTTATTAGAGATAAATATATATTACATATATTCCAGACAGCTTATAATATGCATCTATAATTTATATATGTATAGAAAATCTATGTATTTCTAAAACTAGATAATATATATGAGATATATATTATATATATATTATATATATACAGTTATATATTTTTAATTGATATAATGTAAAATATACATATATAATTTAAATAAAAATATATTATATATAATATAAATATATAAAAATATTTTAAATTGCTTATAGAGAATTTATTTAAAGAGATTATAGACAAATATATATGGTAGTTTATAACATACATGTATAATTTCTATATAGAGAAAATCTATATATTTCTATAACTACATAATATATGTGAGAAATATATAATACAGAAATACATATAACTTTTATATATATTATTTTATAAATTTATTATATATTATTATATACGAAGATATTATTTTTATAAAGTTATATGTTTATCTATATAATTTAAAATATGCATATATATTTTATAAAGATATATTATATGGAATATATAAATATATATTAAGAATTATGTATATAAAATCTATTTTAAAATATTATAAATAAATATAATATATACAAAATATATACAGCAAATAATATACATGTATAATTTATATATATATAGAAAATATATATATTTCTATACCTAGACAATATATATGAGATATATATTGTGTAGAAATAGATATAATTTTTATATATTTTATTTTATGTATTTATTATGTATTATTATATACCTATTATATTCATCACATATTATTTATAGAGTTATATATGTATTTAATAGATATAATTTATAACATACATATATAATTAATATAGAACTATATATTATATATAATATACATATATATAAATATATTAATAATTACATATATAAAATTTATTTAAATATATTACAAGTAAATGTATAAAATATATAAAAGACAGTTTATAATATACAAGTATAATTTTTATATATATAAAAATCTATATATTTCTCTAACTAGATAATAAATATGAGATATATAATACAGAAGTACATCAAACTTTTATAGATTTTATTTTATATATTTATTAATCATTATTACATACTTGTTATATTCATTATATATCATTTATGTAAAGTTATATATTTATCTACATAACTTATAATATGCATATATAATTTATATATAGATTTTTCCATGTATAATATTATATAATATATATAAAAATATATATAAATATATATTATGAATTACGTATATAAATATATATATATTATAGATATATATTATATATATTCCAGACAGTTTATAATATACATGTATAATTTATATATCTATAGAAAATCTCTATATTTCTATAACCAGATAATATATATGAGATTTATATTCTACAGAAGTACATATAACATTTATATATTTTATTTTATATATTTATTATGTATTACTTATAATATTCATTATATATTACTTACATAGTTATATACTTATCCTAAATAATTTATAATATACATATATCATTAATGTATATAATATCTATATATATTATATATAAAATATATTAAAATATATTATTAATTATCTAATTAAATATTAATTTATTAATTTTCTGATTTATTAATTATCTAAATAAATATTAATTAATAAATATATTATTAATTATCTAATTAAATATACAATATATAAATTATTGAGTTTATAATACACATATATTTAGAAATCTCTATATTTTTATAACTAGGTAATATATAGGAGATATATATTATCGTCATTATCATGGCTGGGCTTCGTAAATTTGAAGATTTGAGAAGGGCTCTCCCCACACTTGCTACAAGCACTCTGATGCCTAAAAGGGCCTGTGTGAGATAGACAAGTCCTGCTGAGATATATATTAGAGAAATACGTAGAACTTTTATATCTTTTATTTAATAAATTTATTATATATTATTATATACTTATTATATTCATTATATATTGTTTATTTAAAATTATATGTTTAATCTATATGATTTATAACATACATAATTTATATATAGATTTTCTCCATATATATTATATATTATATCTTATATATTATATATTTATATATTATATATTATATATATTATGAATTACATATATAAATTTAAATATATTACAGATAAATATATATTATATATATTTCATTTTATAATATACAAGTATAACTTATATATGTATAGAAAATCTATATATTTCTATAACCAGATAATATATATAAGATATATATTCTACAGAAATACATATAACTTTTATATCTTTTATATATTTATTATGTATTATTGTATACTTATTATATTCATTATATATTATTTTATAAAGTTATATATTTATCTATATAATTTATAACTTAAACATATAATTTATAAAATATATATTGTATATAATATATATATAATATAAAAATGTTTTATATATAAATATATATATAAATATCTTTTGAATTCTGTATATAAAATTTATACAAATAGATTATAGATAAATGTATATTCTATATATGATAGTTTATAATATACATCTATATAGAAAATCTGTATATTTCTATAACTAGATAATATATGTACAAAATATACAGAAATACATATAACTTTTATATACTTTATTTTATGTAGTTATTATGTATTATTATATATTTATATACATTATATTTATATAAATAATATAAATACATTATAATATATATTAATATAATAGTAATTTTAGAATGAAGTATATATTTTCTATTTTATATGGAATTAAGAAATAATAATTATTATATCTTAATTAATAAATTAATATAAATTAAATATAAAGTTATGTATTTATCTATATAATTTATAATATGCACATATAATTTATAAAGATATATTATATATAATATATAAATAAATATTCTGAATTACATATATGAAATCTATTTAAATATACTATAGATAAATATATATAAATTATATACGGTTAGAAATTATACGTATATAATTTCTAGATATATATATATAAAAACTATATATTTCTATAACTAGATAATACATATGAGAGATATATTATATAGAAACATAACTTTTATATATTTTTTATTTATTATTATTATATACCTATTAAATTAATCATATATTATTTACAGAGTTATATATATTTAATTGATATAATTTATAATATTCATATATAATTTAAATAGAAATATATATTATATATAATAAAAATATATAAATATATTATGAATGACATATATAAAATTTATTTAAATATATTATAGGTAAATATATATAATATATATAACAGTTTATAATTTTTATATATATAGAAAATCTATATATTTCTATAACT